AGAAGATGGATTCTGACTTAGCAATCATTGGAAAGATTTGATAAACCATTTCAGGTCTTAATTGATTGTTCACGCTTACAGTGGCTTTCAGACAGCATATATTAATTTTTCGTCTCCCCCCTCCTCTTTTCAGAATATAGATGGACTAGTCCTTCTAAATAAACTGCCAAATCGCTGCGCATGGTGCTGACGTTTTTTATAAATAAATACACCGTTTAAAAATAAATAAATTTACGCAAACCGACACACCTGATGACGACCGTTTGTGTTATGGTCGAAACGTCGTGATAATTTTTATTGTTTTATATATATTTTATTATTCTATTGTTTCCCTTCAACGTGACTTTACCGAAAGAGCTAAGAATATAATTTTATGCAGTCACGAAAGCTTTAATTTCTTTATTAACACACTTCTACGGGGAAGTTACCTTTGCAATTCTGTCCTAAATGTGCACCCCTTGCCTGCTCCTACCCCTCCCCCCGCCTCTGCTGCGGTGCAGCCCCTGCTTGCTTCTGCTTCTCTGGCCCCTCCCCTCTACCTTTGTTTCTTATTTAAGGCTTCTGTTCATCCCTCCGGCCCCTTTCTCTTGTTCCTTGCTTCTCTGTCCGTCATTCCTCCCTCCTGGCCTCTTGGTGTGCCTGTATATGTATTTTTGCTGACTTGTACCTCGTATTTGTTCACTCTGTCTATGCTGGTATGTTCAATCCAGAGGTTGAACACGAAATTTAACATTCTTCTGAAATTCGTGGCCCGCCAGGTAAGTGTCTAACTGTGTTGTTGACCTGACTGGTTGTGCTTCACGTAATTTTTTCTTAGGTTTGTTGAATTCTCGTCTCTCATCTTCTTGTCGTATTTACCTCCGTGATTTGTCTGTCTATGCTGGTATGTTCAATCCAGAGGTTGAACACGAAAATGTAACACTCTTCTGAAATTCGTGGTCCGCCAGGTGTCTGTGTTGTTGGCCTGACTGGTTGTGCTTCACATAATTTTTTCATAGGTTTGTTGAATTCTCGTTTCTCATCTTCTTGTTGTATTTACCTCCATTATTTGTTTTTTTACACCTGATGAGGATCCCTTGTGTTGCGGTCGAAACGTCGTGATTGATTTATTTTAATATAATTTTATGGTATTTCTACATACGTGACTTTACCGAAAAAAACAATGAGTAATGTTTCAGATTTTCGATTTTTAATTTTTTTTCGAGGGTGACAATTGTCTACCACAGATCACAAAACTAGACGTTAACAAAATTGTTATCAATCAGAGTAGCACCCCGATTTTGGACAATCTGAAAACAGTATTGGCTAAAGGACTAAATTTCGCTGTCACCCAAAAGCATATACCGATAGATTATATCATTTCTCAGGTCGATGTAGCCCTCAAAGGTATAGGACACATCCAAGCAGACGTCGCGAGAGCTGAAATATCTACTATTCTTAAGAATGCTAAGAAACCCTTTAGCAACATCAGCAAAGATGAACGCTCTGAACTCGCGAAATTAAAAGAGAGACATGATATAGTCATCCTCTCAGCCGACAAGGGCAATGCCACTGTAATTATGGATAAAAACTCATACAACAATAAAATTCAGGACCTACTCAATGATGGTAGTTACTAAAGAATCAAAAATGACCTTACTAATAGCCTAACTATAAAAACCAACAAGATCAACACAAGTTCGACCTCCCTAATCGAACCAACTAAACGTCCCTCCCTAAAACCTTCTGCTGCAAGACCCCCTAGATTCTATGGTCTTCCAAAGATTCATAAAGAAGGCACTCCACTACAACCCATCGTATCCACGATCAACTCCCCTACCTATAAGCTAGCACGTTTTGTGTCAGATACCTTGCTACCTTTCACTGGCAAGACCTCCTCAGCAGTACTTAACTCAGCCCAATTGGTTTCTATGGTCAAAGACGTTGTACTGTCCCCTGACGATATCCTTGTCAGCTTCGATGTGGTCTCCTTGTTCACCAAGGTCCCGGTACCTGATACCATTGAAATAATTGAAAATTTGGTACATGGACTAAACCCCGAGGTACCTACGCTGTCTTCTTTGGTTCTTTCGGTAAAGTCACGTAGAATGAGAATAAAATAATAAATTGATAAAATAAAATTACACAATAAAATTCTCACGACGTTTTGGCCACAACACAAGCGGTCTTCATCAGGTGAAAGGACGAGACTGTCTGGAGGACAGCGCTGGAGCTAACAAAGTCACGCTCAGATCGCGACCTTTAAGCTGTGTGAGAAGAAACAAAGCGCCTTGACAAAGGAATTAGCATAGAATTTAGCATTGAAATGGCTGAGTGATTAGCGTGTGACTGGTCACAGAAATAGCTATGTTAAAGTCAAAGCATACACATCCACAGAGGCACCCCTTGACAAAGGAATTAGCATAGAATTTAGCATTGAAATAGCTGAATAATTAGCTTGTGACTGGTCACAGAAATGGCTATGTTAAAGTCAAAGCATACACATTCACAGAGGCACCTAGTACAAATCAAACAGGAGAATTTAGCACTGAAATAACTAGGAATATCTATCTAGCATTGAAATAACTGAGTGATTAGCTTGTGACTGGTCACAGAACTTTAGCACCACGGATAGCTATGAGCCCCGTTCAGACGGACGAGTTCATCCATGGACGGAACGGAGGAGGGAGAGAGAGACAGCTGCGAGGTGCTGTTAAACTTCATGTTGTAAACCATACCATTAACCGTGGTGTGAGAGGTATTAAGAGACAATGCAAGCGAAAGAGCTGCGGTCTGAAGGTCATCGTAAAATACAATTAATTAAGAACGGAAATGGTTTAAAACATCTTTCCAATGGTTACTAAGCCAGAATCCATCTTCTCGGTTGAAATTGTCTCTGTGCTTGTATATATGAATGGCCTCATGAACGAATCTCTCATGGTAGCCGGTTGGTTTGCAAAGAACCTCCGTCTTGGAGAAGTCAATGTCATGTGAGCCCACTGAATTATAACAGTGATCTGCCACGGCAGAGGAGTTTGTTCTACCGTGTTTCAAGTCTGCTTTATGTTCGCGGATGCGGTCCGAGATATGTCGTTTGGTTTCTCCAATGTACCTACTACCACAGAGGCACTTTAGTTTGTAAACGCCCGGGTACTGTATGTTTGGAACAGCATCTTTTACAGATGGAACCAGATCACGGATTTTATGTAGTGTTGAATCGGACCTGGATCTTGTTTTTATTCAGGATTTTGGAGATCTTTTTAGTGACCCCTGCAATGTAGGGTAAGGTGATGGTTTTGAGTGGCTCCACAAGAGGATCCTTCTTCATGACTGGAGTGATGGCTTTGCGGATTGTGTAGTCGAAGTAACCATTAGCCCTGAGAGCCTGGTGTACGTGCTTGAGTTCACTGGTAATGTGTTCCTGGTCGGAAATGCATTGGGCTCTATTGTATAGAGTCTTGATGAGGGAGTTCTTCTGGGATGGATGGTGGTGGGAATCCGGTTTCTAGTAAGCATCTGTATGGGTAGCTTTCCTGTAGACAGAGTGGCTCATTGAACCATCATGTCTCCTTTTAATTAAGACATCCAAAAAGGGTAGTTTGCCATCTTTTTCGACCTCCATGGTAAATCTGATGGCTGGGTGTATGGAATTGATGTGGTCGCGGAATTGGTCTAGAGCAGGCTGGCCATGTGGCCAGATGACAAAAGTGTCATCCACGTACCTCTTCCATAAGGTCGGGCGTAGAGTGGCAGTCTGGATGGCGTCAGTTTCAATTTTTTCCATGAATACGTTGGCTACAACCGGAGATAGGGGGAGCCCATTGGGGTGCCCTCAGTTTGTTTGTAGAAAGTTCCATTCCAGGTGAAGTATGTTGGTTAAGCAATGTCTCACCAGGGGGGGTTCATCAGTATGCAGTCCTTGATGAACCAGGTCTTCAATGATAGCGATGGTGTCAGGTACCGGGACTTTGGTGAACAAGGACACCACATCAAAACTGACAAGCAGGTCGTCTGGGGACAGGGAAATGTCTTTGATTGTCGATACCAGGTGAGTAGAATTTAGTACCGCAGAGGTGGTTTTTCCAGTGAAAGGTCGCAGTATATAAGCAAGAAAACGTGCCAGTTTATAGGTGGGGGAGTTGATAGTAGAGACGATGGGACGAAGGGGTGTATCTTCTTTGTGTATCTTTGGAAGGCCATATAATCTTGGTGGTCTGGCAGCAGAGGGTTTCAACGAGAACTGTTTGGTCTGATCAATTAATGTTGTTGAATCAGAGATGATTTTGTTCGTTTTGGTAACCAGGCTATTGGTGGGATCTCTTTTTATTTTTGTATAGCTGCCATCGTTGAGTAGTTCTTGAATTTTGTTATATTCTGTTTTGTCCATGATGACAGTGGCATTGCCCTTGTCGGCTGAGAGGACGACAATATCATCTCTTTTTTAATTGAGATAATTAAAAGCGTTCATCTTTGCTGATGTTTCTGGGTGGCAACTTAGCGTTTTTGAGGGTTGCAGCGATTTCAGATCTTGCTACGTCTGCAGAGATGTGACTCAAGCCCTTGAGTGCAACGTCGACATGGGCAATGATATCATTAACCGGTATGTGTCTCAGTGTGACAGCAAAGTTTATACCTTTAGCTAATACGGATTTCAGACCATCAGAAAAGGAACTGTTACTGCGATTAATTACGACTTTGTTGACGTCTATCTTTTCGGTGTGTGGATCCGATTTTTTGTTGGAGAGGTGATTGAATTTGGAAATCAAATTGTGCCTACATTTGGTCGACATAGTGGCAGCCAAAGAGGTAGTCATATTGTCTACATGTTCCCAATCCGATGTAGACATTGTTGCTGTCAATGTTAAGTGTGATTTGTAGAGTGTCTTGTCTAACTGATCGAGTTCGGTGCGTGTAAGTCTGATTTTTTCCGAGATAAGAGCGAAGCTAGTTCTAGCTAGAATTCGTTTTGCATTGAGAGAAGTTGCAGCAGCAGAGGTTAGTGTAAATGCGGTTGGTATTACCTTAGAGTCGCGGCATCTCTTCTACGCTGGTCAGGCACTGCCTCACCAACACCTACTTTACTTGGAATAGTTCCTTCTTGTCACCAGTGAATCGGACGCCATCCAGACTTCCACCCTCAGACCTTCCCTGTGGAAGAGATATGTGGATGATACTTTTGTCATTTGGCCACATGGCCTCCCAGCTCTGAACCTTTACCTACACCACATCAATTCCAGACATCCCGCCATCAAATTCACCATGGAAGTGGAGAAAGATGGCAAGCTACCATTCTTAGATGTTCTGTTTGAGAGGAGACCTGATGGCTCATTGGGGCATTCTGTATACAGGAAACCCACCCACACAGATTCCTACTTGAAACCTGATTCCCACCACCACCCAGCTCCAAAGAATTCTCTCATCAAAACTGTATACCATAGGGCTCATTGCATTTCGGACCAACACCAGCTGACTAGTGAATTAAAACATGTACACCTGGCCCTCAAAAGGAATGGATACTCTGACCGCACCATCCGCCAAACTGTTTCTCCCTCCATACAGAAACAACCACTTGATACTCTGGTCAAAACCATCACACTACCATATATAGCAGGCGTTACTAAAAAGATTTCCAAAATTATAAACAAACACAAGATCCAGGTCCGGTTCAATACAGTACACAAAAAATCTGATCCTATCCGTGAAGGATGTCATTCCTGACTTACAGTACCCCGGGGTTTACAAATTGAGTTGTACCTGCGGTGATTGCTATATCGGGGAGACGAAGCGACATGTCTCTGACCGAATTCGCGAGCACAAATCAGATTTGAAACACGGCAGAACAAATTATTCTGCCGTAGCTGATCACTGTTACAATGCTGTGGGTGATCACGATATAATTTTCTCCGATACCAAGGTTCTTTGCAAACCCACGGGTTTTTATCAGAGATTTGTTCATGAGGCAATTCAGATTTACAAACACAGACACAATTTCAACCGAGAAGATGGTTTCAAATTAAGCAACCATTGGAAAGATGTTCTAAATCGAACCAAACATTAAACTAATTTTCAATGGTACAGTATATTTTTCAAGTAGTGGTACCCCAAACTTTTGCAGCTCTTAAAATTCCCTTTTCACACCATCAATATGTAAATTCCACCTCCCCCCCTCGCCTGCACATGTTCACTCCCTCTACACCGTTCATCATGCTAAGTCCACCAATTAAATGCTAATTTTTATGCTAATTCCTTTGTCAAGGCACCTTAATTCCTCCTACACAGTTTAAAGGTCGCGGTCTGAGCTTGGCTGTGTTCACTCCAGCACTGTCCTCGAGACAGTCTGGTCCCTTCACCTGATGAAGGCCACTTGTGTTGTGGCCGAAACGTTGTGATTTTTGTTTTATTTTTTACCTACGTGACTTTACCGAATAGAACCAAAGAGTAATTGTCTACCCTGTCACCCCCCTGGCTCCGCCCCTGAAGGCCACCGACAGTGGCAACCCGGTGGACACGAAGGTAGGTGCGCGGCGCGGTACTGTGAGAGTGTGGGAAGGGTCACGAATATCTTGGGGCCTTAGAGCGGGTCCGCATTGCAGGACCATCGTATGGATCAGGGGATTTCGTGGGAGGGTCGGTGGAGAACTGCCCAGCCTGGGGAACATCTGGCTCGGCGGTTGAGCACTTGTCGACGGGAGCGGCCGGTGATGACGGCCGTTGAGAACTCACTCTCTCGGCATCTGGGGGTGCAACACCACGGCTGTGCTGAGGGTTATGCTCCGTGGAAACGCAACCCGGCTCATCGGACACATCACGCACTCGGCCCCCTTAATGTGTAGATGAAGTAGAGGAGCGAGGTGCGATGAAGGGTTTCAGGCGCAATGGGTGGATGTACCAACACCGCCGACCCCACTGAACTTTAACACACTGGGGACGCACAACCTGGACAATGTCGACAGGGCCCCGCCAGGGCCTGAGTAACTTTGGCGACATTGGCAACGGCATCTGGGGGCAATGGAGCCAGGCCTTGTCTCCTTTTACCCGTACATGTGTGGATGCACGAAGGCCCTGCAACCGTTCATTGGCCCGTTGCTGTCCGCCAGAATTTTCCCTCGTGGCATCCCTAGCCTCGGACAACTTCTGAAGGTTGAATCGTATGTGGTCAGTCACTTTCGATTTTTAGGCCCGTTTAACGCGCAGTTGCACCTCCATGCGTGGTTCAACATCTCTGCCGTACATCAAGTAGAAAGGTGAGTAACCGGTGGCCGCATGAGGCCACTGGTTATACCTGGCGACACAGCATGGAGGTGAGCGTTCTGTGCAAACGCTCGATCATGCCGTCAGTCTGTGGGTGGTACGGGGAGGTAAGTATTTTCTGTGTGCCCAACATGTAACAAATGTCCCACAGCAAAGTGGACAAGAAATTCCTTCCCTGGTCGGTCAGCAGCCGTTCGGGAGCACCCCTGTCCAGAACATAGCCCTGGACAAAGGCCTCGACGATGGATGCTGCCGACTGGTTGGGGAGCGGCCAAGCCATAGGCCAGCGCGTGAAGTACTCCACCCCAACCAGCAGGTACTTGTTACCTCGGGGAGTGGCAGGAAAAGGTCCAAGGACATCCAAGGGGACAAGCTCATTGATACGGGTCACTTGAATGGACTGCAGAGGTGGGCAAGACGGTCGGGCTGGCGGCTTTCGCTGTGCACAGTGAGTGCAGCCCTGCAGTAAATCAGCCACATCTTTAGCCATGCCTGGCCAGAAAAAGTCAAGTTGGGGCATGGCAAGGGTTTTATGCACCCCTAAATGTAAGAGTCGCTCATGTGCAGCCAAAACAGCTTTACCCCGCAGGGCAGTGGGCACAACATTTTTGTATCATCGCAGGCTACCTTCCCATGACATTAAGAGGCCATCGCGCAGGACAAATGTCGCGAAACCATCGCGGCCCCCACTCTCCTAAGACTGTCCGGCCTGATGACGAAGTTTGAAGAGAGAAATATCCACCATCTGGAGGCGGCCCCAATCATCACGGGCTAGGCCGAGCAACACATCCTGAGCGAGCATACCCTTAGAATCCCCACAGGGACCTGTCTCGGCCACTGCAGCGAGGTGCTGGGCCAACCTATCGACTGGCTGCTTGCAGCGTCCTGAACCAAGGAAACACGCACATCTATCGGCCGTCGGCAGACGCGACACTTTCGAACCCGTCAACAACCTGTGACAAAACTTCTCCGATACCGGTGTTACTTGCATCCGTGTCAAGGATGAAGGGCAACGAAAAGTTGGGGTAGCTCAGGGGAGGGGCATTTACCAAGCCATCATGCAGCAAGCTAAATGCGGCCTCCTCCACCTCACCCCAGTGAAACTTAACACCTTTTGCCATCAGTGCATGAAGGGGCTTAGCAATGGAAGCAAAGCCCGCCACGAAGCGTTGGTAATAAGACGCAAAGCCCATAAAACTCCACACTTCCCCCACCGATGTGGGGGTCGGCCATGTGCGAACACAATCAGTTTTTTCTGGATCAGTGGCAATGCCCGAACGGCTGACAATGTGGCGAAGGTAGCACACCAATTCCCGCAAGAGGTGGCACTTCTGCGGTTTAAATTTAAGGTTTGCCACCCGCATTTTAATAAAAAAACAGCCTTCATAGGTTCGAGGTGTTCATCGAAAGTGCGGCTGAAGACAATGACGTTGTCTAAATAGATCAAGCATGAGACCAACTGGATCCCAGCAAGAACCAGCTCCATCAACCGTTATAATGTTGCTGGGGCCGAGTGGAGGCCCTGCAGCATGCAGAAAGCAGTTTTCGGTTTTGATGCCGCGTCGAGGGGCAATTGCCAAAAACCAGACAAGAGGTCCAGTGTCGAAAAGTAACGTGCCCCCGCTAAGGCATCTAGGGATTCGTCCATATGGGGAAGCGGGTACGCGTCGGCCACCGAAATGTTGTTAAGTCTGTGAAAATCGACACAGAACCTTAAGCTGCCATCATGCTTCTTTACAAGAACAACAGGAGCTCCCCATGGGCTGGTGGATGGAGAGATGATGTCGGCAGCTAATGTCATTGACAGCCAACCTGACATGTCCTTTCTCAGCCGGGCTCAAGCGGAACGGTGTTTTAGCAATTAAGTGCATCCAATGTAAACATTTTATTTGCTAAACACGTCGGAAAAGTCTTGTAACAGAGTGCGTAATTTACCCCTCTGGGAATTTGATAAATTGCCAGCCGAAGAACAGAGCAGGCCTAACCATCGGTCATCGGAGTGTGGTTGCGATCGAGGTACCACTCCGACGTGGCCTACAGTCGAATCGGCCTGGAGCGCCGGTGTCACGTGAGCAAGCACGGTACCTTGCGGTATAACGGTCGTACGCAACCCAGCATTCAAAACTTGGATGAAGGGATCTCGATTCCCTGATACCAGAGTCTGCGCACCGACCAATTCTAAACCCGGAACCGCAGTATTTGAAGGACCTATCAAGACACTGTTTGGGACGCCATCGCCTGAATGGTAGCTCAGGACGTGCGCAATCGGGTAGGTGATGGTAGGAATGGCATACGCCGACCCGAGGGCAATTCAATACAGCCTTGGTCAATTAGAATTTTGATAGGCATCTTGCCCAAGAAATCTGTACCTAATAAACATGGAACGGCGAGGGATGATGAGACCAGAATGGATCCAGCCAACTTCACGTCGCCAATACAAATTTAGGCTTTGATTTGACCAATTAGACCCAGCGACCCCCCGTTAGCGGCGAAACACGGAACATCAATTGGAAGCACTTGCTTGAAGAAGAGAGTGCGCCTGTATGCATTTTGTGGCGTGCAGGGAACAAATGTCTCCATCATCGATGGCGTGTATGACCACACGCAGCATCTTTTCTAAAACAAGCACGTCGATGCCCTCGAAGTCCATACGAGGGAAGGCGGCCTTCGCCAGGGCAAGCAGCGCACTGCGGAAGGCGAGGGGAGTTTCATAATAAAGGTTTTTGGGTTAGATCGCGTTTATTTATAAATGTGTCGTAACCCTCCACCGCCCGACACGGCCAATCAGCAAAAAAAGTGTCACGTTGACAAAAGACAAATAATTCACTACTTTAGCCCACCGGTGTGTTGAAGAGTGAATCCACATTTACAGTTTGAGTACGACGTTTCGCTGGTAAATACATCCAGCATCATCGGGCAATTCGCCAGAATGGTAAAGCCCTCGCTTGCTCCCGGTTTTATATAGAGCAGCAGGGTGACGTCATCACTTAACTCATATCAGGTGCAGTGATTAGAGACGGAGGGGGGGGGTATTGTAATTATATAATCGATTAGTAATCAGTCATTGGTTATGATTAGTAATGAGTTGTAGATTAGTAATTCTTTAAATCAAAATGTAATGTGTATTATTTAATAATACGCTTCCAGGCCGCACTAAGCCGGTAGCTGTCAGAGCGATTAAAGTTATTCTTGTTCCTCTCAATTTCAATGGATTCTCTAATTAGTCTTTGCCAGTAATAATTAGTTTTACACACCACTGCAACATTGTCAAAATCAATTGAGTGTCCTTATTTACCAGCGAAACGTCGTACTCAAACTGTAAATGTAGATTCACTCTTCAACACACCGGTGGGCTAAAGTAGTGAATTATTTGTCTTTTGTCAACGTGACACTTTTTTTGCTGATTGGCCATGTCGGGTGGTGGAGGGTTACGCCACATTTATAAATAAACGCTATCTAACCCAAAAACCTTTATTATGAATAATATTGGTCGCGAAAGCCTACGTGTTAAACTGAGGGGAGTTTCCTCCGAGCGGCGAACCGGTGTCGAGTGTCCAATGGTGGGCCGTAAATGTCGGCCAAGTGTTGCAACGCCCGCTGCAATGTAGACCGCTCCTCTCATGGAATTGTGATGAGGGCAGTTCGGGCGTTGTCGTCCAGAGCGGCCGGGAGTGCCCGCAGCGCCTCTTCCTCTGTCCATCCCGCCGTGTTGAAAGGCCACACAGTCGCCGCCCACCGCCGAGAATTATTTGAGGACGGGCAGTCATGGGTGGATGGCCGGCATGCATCCCACAGGTAGATGTTCCCCGTCACTTTTGGCGGGAACCGCGCCACCGTCAGCCAAAAAAATGGCGGCCCCTTGCAGCGGACGCACCACCGATGACGCGGCGACCGCAGATTGGTGCGGGCCGCGGCCAGAAGTGACGCCAGTCCCATGATGCTCCTGGCTCCCGGCGGAAGCTCCCCGAATCTCGGCGGGAGATTCAAAATTTTGGGCGGGAATTGTAGAAGCAGTGGCGGCAATGGCCGTCACTTGCTGGTCTCCTCCGTCCTCCCCTGCCACTCACCTGCCCACCCAATCACTCACCGACCCACTCACCTGCCCACCCACTCACTCACTGACCCACTCACCTGCCCACCCACTCACTCACCTGCCCACCCACTCACTCACCTACCCACCCACTCACCTGCCCACCCACTTCGTTACCCACTCACCTGCCCACCCCCTAACCTACCCACTCACTCACCTATCCACTCACTCACCTACCCACTCACCTGCCCACCTACCCACTCATCTGCCCAACCACTCACTCACCCACTCACATGCCCATCCACTCACATGCCCACCCACTCACTCACTCACTCACCCACTCACCTGCCCATCCACTCACTCACCTACCCACTCACATGCCCACCAACTCACTCACCCACCCACTCACCTGCCCACCCACTCACCCAAGGACCACTCACCTACTAATCCACTCACTCACCTGCCCACCCATCCACTAAACTATCCACTCGCCTGCCCACCCACTCACTCACCCACTCACCTGCCCACCCACTTACTCACCTGTCCACCCACCCACTCAACTGCCCACCCACTCACTCACCTGCCCACCTACTCACCTGCCCACCCACCCACTCACCTGCCCACCCACCCACTCACTCACCTACCCACTCACCTGCCCACCCCCTCAACTACCCACTCACTCACCTATCCACTCACTAACCTACCCACTCACCTGCCCACATACTCACTCACCTGCCCACCCACTCACCTGCCCATCCACTCACCCAAGGCCCACTCACCTGCCCATCCACTCACCCAAGGCCCACTCACCTGCCCATCCACTCACTCACCTGCCCACCCACTCACCTATCCACTCACCTGCCCACCCACTCACTCAGCTGCCCACCCACTCACTTACCCACTCACCTGCCCACCCACTTATTCACTTGCCCACTCACCCACTCACCTAACCACTCACCTGCCCTCCCACCCACTCACCTGCCCACCTACTCACCTGCCCATCCACCCACTCACCTGCCCACCCACTCACTCACCTACCCACTCACCTGCCCACCCCCTCACCTACCTACTCACTCACCTATCCACTCACTAACCTACCCAGTCACCTGCCCACATACCCACTCACCTGCCCACTCACTCACCTGCCCATCCACTCACCCAAGGCCCACTCACCTGCCCACCCACTCACTCACCTGCCCACCCACTCACCTATCCACTCACCTGCCCACCCACTCACTCAGCTGCCCACCCACTCACTTACCCACTCACCTGCCCACCCACTTATTCACTTGCCCACTCACCCACTCACCTACCCACTCACCCGCCCTCCAACCCACCCACTCACCTGCCCACCCACTCACTCACCCACTCACCTGCCCATCCACTAACTCACCTACCCATTCAACTGCCCACCCACTCACCCAAGGCCCACTCACCTGCCCAACTACTCACTCACCTGCCCACCCACTCATATATCCACTCACCTGCCCACCCACTCACTCAGCTGCCCACCCACTCACTTACCCACTCACCTGCCCACCCACTTATTCACTTGCCCACTCACCCACTCACCTACCCACTCACCCGCCCTCCCACCCACCCACTCACTTACCCACTCACCTGCCCACCCACTTATTCAGTTGCCCACTCACCCACTCACCTACCCACTCACCCACCCACTCACCTACCCACTCACCTGCCCACCCACTTACTCACCCACTCACCTGCCCACCCCCTCACCTACCCACTCAACTGCCCACCCACTCACGCACCTATCCACTCACCCACCTACCCATTCACCTGCCCACCCACTCACCTGCCCACCCACTCACTCAGCTGCCCACCAACTCACTGACTCACTTACCCACTCACCTGCCCACCCACTCACTCACCTGCCCAACCACCCACTTAGCTGCCCACCCACTCACCTACCCACTCACCTGCCCACCCACTCACTGACCTGCCCAACGACTCACTCACCTACCCACTCACCTGCCCTCCCACCCACTCACCTACCCACTCAACTGGCCACCCACTCACTCACCTATCCACACAGTCACTTGCCCACCCACTCACTCACCTGCCCACCCACTCACTCACCCACTCACCAACCCACTCAGGGTCACGGGATCGAACCCACGAACCTCCTGCAGACCAGGCGAGGGAGTTCACGTTTCCCTCTTCGCGAGTCGCAGCGCCACTGTAGCACACGAGGGGGTGGGTGGTCAGCACCACCCTAGCCCGGCCGCCTTTGCCTCCCCCAGTAGATATGTTTACCACACCGCACCGGATACTCGTTTAAGGCTGAGTCGACCTAGAGGAGGCCCCGGGACCGGCTCAGATAATCGCTGTCACTGGTGATGGTGGACGTGAGCGGGAATCGACCTCGGGTTCGTTGAGCAGCGGGTAGTGTGCTAACTACTGCGCCACCGCTCCCCACCAACTCAGACCACGCGACGTCGAGCGCGATGACGTCATACGCAGTCCATCCAACGTATTGCGCGATGACGTCACACGCAGACCACCCGACGTAGAGCATGATGACGTAACACGCAGACCACCTGACTTAGAGCGCAATGACGCACACGCAGACCACCCAACGTAGAGCGCGCTGACGTCACACACAGACCACCCGACGTAGAGCACGATGACGTCACACGCAGACCACCCGACTTAGAGCGCGATGACGCACACGCAGACCACCCGACGTGAAAAAAATTAAATGAAAATGAAAACCCGACGTAGAGCGGGATGACGTCACACGCAGACCACCCGACGTAAGGCGCAATGACGTCACATGCAGACACCTTACGTAGAGCGTGATGACGTCACACGCCGACCACCCGACGTATAGCGCGCTGACGTCATACGCAGACCGCAGAACACACGGTGATTAAGCGCTCTTGTGTCATCACGCACCGTGCGCGCTGACGTCAACACGCACAGTTCGCCCTTGTCCGTCCTCGCCGCCTCGCAATGGAGACCGTGAAGGCCGCAAGTCCCGAACCGGTAACAGAGACACGGGGAGAGACAGAGACACGGGGAGAGACAGAGACACGGGGAGAGACAGAGACACGGGGAGAGACAGAGACACGGGGAGAGACAGAGACACGGGGAGAGACACAGACACGGGGACAGAGGCAGAGACACGGGGAGAGACAGAGACACGGGGAGAGACAGAGACACGGGGAGAGACAGAGACACGGGGAGAGACAGAGACACGGGGACAGAGACACGGAGAGAGGCAGAGACACGGGGACAGAGACAGAGACACGGGGACAGAGACACGGAGAGAGGCAGAGACACGAGGACACGGGAGGACACAGACACGGGGAGAGACAGAAACACGTGGGGGACGGAGACACGGGGAGAGACAGAGACACGGGGAGAGGCAGAGACACGGGGAGAGACAGACACGGGGAGAGACAGAGACACGGGGAGAGACAGAGACACGGGGAGAGACAGACACGGGGACAGAGGCAGAGACACGGGGAGAGACAGAGACACGGGGAGAGACAGAGACACGGGGAGAGACAGAGACACGGGGAGAGACAGAGACACGGGGAGAGACAGACACGGGGACAGAGGCAGAGACACGGGGAGAGACAGAGACATGGGGAGAGACAGAGACACGGGGAGAGGCAGAGACACGGGGAGAGACAGAGACACGGGGAGAGACAGAGACACGGGGAGAGACAGAGACACGGGGAGAGACAGAGACACGGTGAGAGACAGAGACACGGGGAGAGACAGAGCCACGGGGAGAGACAGAGACACGGGGAGAGACAGAGACACGGGGAGAGACAGAGACACGGGGAGAGACAGAGACACGGGGAGAGACAGAGACACGGGGAGAGACAGAGACACGGGGAGAGACAGAGACACGGGGAGAGACAGAGACGGGGAGAGACAGAGACACGGGGACAGAGACACGGAGAGAGGCAGAGACACGGGGACAGAGACAGAGACACGGGGACAGAGACACGGAGAGAGGCAGAGACACGAGGACACGGGAGGACACAGACACGGGGAGAGACAGAGACACGGGGAGAGACAGAGACACGGGGAGAGACAGAGACACGGGGAGAGACAGAGACACGGGGAGAGACAGAGACACGGGGAGAGACAGAGACACGGGGAGAGACAGAGACACGGGGAGAGACAGACACGGGGACAGAGGCAGAGACACGGGGAGAGACAGAGACACGGGGAGAGACAGAGCCACGGGGAGAGACAGAGACACGGGGAGAGACAGAGACACGGGGAGAGAGAGACACGGGGAGAGACAGACACGGAGACAGAGGCAGAGACACGGGGACAGACAGAGACACGGAGAAGAGGCAGAGACACGAGGACACGGGAGGACACAGACACGGGGAGAGACAGAAACACGTGGGGGACAGAGACACGGGGAGAGGCAGAGACACGGGGAGAGGCAGAGACACGGGGAGAGGCAGAGACACGGGGAGAGGCAGAGACACGGGACGGGAAGAGACAGAGACACGGGGAGAGACAGAGACACGTGGAGAGACAGAGACACGGGGACGGAGACACGGGGTGGGGGGGGGAGATAAGGGGACAGACACGAGGGTGACACTGAGGGTTGAAAGGACACGGTGGGAGACTCGTGAAGGTGATATAGGAACACGTGAAGGTGATATAGGAACACGTGAAGGTGATATAGGAACACGTGAAGGTGATATAGGAACACGTGAAGGTGATATAGGAACACGTGGGGGTGTACGGTTGGGTGGTGAGTGCGTTGCTCTACGAACCTGGCGACCCGGGTTTGATTCCCGCTCACGGCCAACACCGGTGACGATTATCTGGACCTGTCCTTGGCCTCCCCTAGGTTGACTAAGCCTCAAATGAGTACCTGGTGTGTAAACATGGTCACTGGGGAGACAAAGGCGACCGGGCGTGGTGCTGGCCACCCACCCCCTCAGTGCCGGTCTACATAGTTGCTTGCTAAAAGCACTTGCCCAACAGTCTGTTAAGGCTATACGGGGGAGCTTTGTCTTTGAGTGGGTGAGTGATTGGTGAGTGAGCAGGTGGTGAGTGGCTGGGTGATGAGAGGATGGGTGAGTGGTTGAGTGGGCGGGTGAGGACGTGGGTGACAAGGTGAGTGAGTGGTGAGCGAGTGAGTGGTGAGTGTGTGGATGGCTCGTGAGTCGGTGGATGAGTGGGTGGGTAGATGAGTGAGCGAGTGATGAGTCGGTGAGCGAGTGGTGAGTGGGTGGATGAGTTGGTGGGTTGATGGGTGGGCGGGTGAGTGGTGAGCTAGTGGTGAGTATGGCATTTGATTTTCTGTTTCAGGAGCCAGTTGAGGAGGAGGAAGAGGAGGATGTGGTGGTGAGAATCTTTCTCAACGTGTCTCCATGTGGCTTCGCGTGTACCCTCTTTGTGTCTCTGTGAGTCTGTGGGTCTCTGTGTGTCTGTCTCTGTGAGTCTCTTATGAGTCTCTGCAAGTTTCCCCTTGCCCCCTCTCTGTCTCTGAGTCTGTGTGTCTGTCAGTCTCTTGTGAGTTTCTGTGAGTCTCTGTTTCCTCTGGTCCCCTCTGTGAGTCTGTGTTTGTGTCTCTGTGAGTCTGAGTGTCTCCCCTGGTCCCCTCTCTGTCTCTATATGAGTCTCTGTTTGTCTTACACAGTTTCTGTGTAATTGTCTCTCTGTGTGTCCCTGTGTGTGTTTGTGAGTCTGTTTTTGCTAGTTTGTGCGTCTCTGGCAAAACAACCCCTACCTCCTCGTTGGTGCCGGATGTTAATGCTGTGGTGAGCAGTGCCATGGGGGGGAGGGCCAATTTCAATCGGCCATTCCCCCCTCATGGTGTTTGTAGCTACTACGGTGGCCAAATGGGGGCTCTAGATGGGTACGAGGGGCTGGTAACCCCTCTACCTTACTTATGCCCCCACCGAAGATGAACATCATTGGAGTGATGCAGGCAAGGCCAATCAGTCTCATAACTTCTATGACCTCTTGTCACAGGTAATAGCTAATGTTGCCTCTCAGGATAGAGTTATCCTGTTGGGTGACTTGAATGCCTGAGTTGGCCATGATGCTGGCATCTGGTCTGGAGTGATTGGAAGGCATGGGCCAGATCAGCTCAATAACAACGGTAGGAGGCTGCTAGACTTTTGGAATTACCAACACGCTGTTCCGACATCGGCGCATCCACACAACATCATGGATGCGTGCCGGGTTCAAGCAATGACATCTGCTGGGCTAAATGCTGAGGGAGGGTGGCATCTGTGTGCAGACTGCCCTACATGACATCATAATAACAATCTGAACCACTGGATGGATTCCACAGGATTGGAAGGATGCTCTAGTGGTCCCCCTTTTTAAGAAGGGGACCGCACAGACTTTAACAACTACAGGGGCATCTCCTTCCTCGGTGTGCCGGGAAAGATCCTGGCAAGGATCATTTAACATCACCTTGCCAGGCACTCTGAGAAGAGGCATGTGGAACCCCAATGTGGTTTCAGTAAAGGGCGGTCATGCACAGATGCCATATTTTCTGTCCGTCTGCTACAGCAGAGGTGTAGGGAATTCCAATCAGACCTCCATCAGTTGGCATGGGATCTAGGTTGTTCTTTGTGCTTTAAGAGTCCCTGACATTCTCTGCTCCCAGTTATTAAGAATCTTCATGATGGTGAGCAGGCCCGGGTAAAACTACGTGGTTGAGAGTCGGAGCCATTCCCTGTTCACCTTTGGGTGCGACAGGGATGTCCTCTGGCTCCCACATTATTTAACATCTATTTCGACCACGTAGTTCGTGAAGCCTTTGATGGCTGTACCGGAGGAATTTCCATCTGGTACAGATACAATGCGAGGCTAATCGATGCCCGGTTGCGGTCAAGGGATGGCTCCCTCTTGGTCAACCATGTTATGTATGCTGATGATCTGGTGATTGCTGCTCACTCAGAGGAGGAGTTGGAGGCACTGCTGCTGAACCTGGAGCGTGCCCCCTAAGCAGTGGGACCTTGCCATCAGCCCCACCAAAATGAAGCACCTGCCTGGGTATTTTGTACCATCAGATACTCCACCCCCACAACTCCCAATTGGTGATGGGGCAGTGGTAGAGAGATAGTGGAGAGTTTTCCATACCTGGGCAGTGTGCTCATGACCGGCTCTGGTTTGACAGCACATATCTCACTCTGAATCAGTTGAGCGGATTTATCTTCTCATCGATTGCATAACACTCTTTGTTCTATCGGTAAAGTCACGTAAAAATAAATTAAATAATAGCATACGACGTTTTGATTGCAACACAAGCAATCATCATCAGGTACGAATGAAAGAGAAAAAAACCTAGTAAACTTAGAAATATAATGCAATACAACACAGACAGTCGGCTAACATAACAATCAACACCCTACCTGGTTGATTACGTTCTTCCAAAGATAGCTAGATTTGAGAGAGAGACATAACACGGACATGGAGACACATAGACAGACACATAAACAGAGATAACAGAGACACAGAGAGAGAGAGAGACACACACACATAGGCACACAGAGAAACAACGCCTCTGTGTCGAGGCCTTAAATAGAGAGAGGGGGGAGAGAGAGAGGGGGGCTACCTGGCCTGTGGCTCCACACAACACTTCGGGTCTTTCCGGCCATGGTCATGCCCTCCATTCTCTATGCTTCCAAAACGTGGACCCCCCCCCCCCTTTGGAACATCTTCACTGGTTAGAAACATTTAGGCTGGCCTGCCTACGATCTATCCTGGGTTTAACCAGGCAAGGCTGCGTTGGCTGGTTCATGTATCCCGCGTGTCCAGCCACCACATGCTTAAACAGATTTTTTTGTTCGGCCGGGGAGAGGGGTCTAAACGGGCGCGGCAAGAGCTAGAGAAGAGATGGAGTGATGTGGTACAGGAGGATGTGGAGCTGAGTGGACTTTATACTCTTTGGTTCTATTCGGTAAAGTCACGTAGGTAAAAAATAAAACAACAAAAATCACGACGTTTCGGCCACAACACAAGCGGCCTTCATCAGGTGAAGGGACCAGACTGTCTCGAGGACAGCGCTGGAGTGAAACACAGCCAAGCTCAGACCGCGACCTTTAAGCTTTGTGAAAGTAATTAAGGTGCCTTGACAAAGGAATTAGCATAAAAAATTGCATTTTAATAGGCAGACTTAGCATGATGAAAGGTAGGGAGGGGGTCGACCTGTGCAGGCTGGCGAGGGGGCATGGCAGCGTCCACATGGTGGTGGTGTGAGAAGGGGATTTTAAGAAGCTGCGAAAGTTTGGGGTACCACTACTTGAAAAATATACTGTACCATTGAAAAATTAGTTTAATGTTTGGTTCGATTTAGAACATCTTTCCAATGGTTGCTTAATTTGAAACCATCTTCTCGGTTGAAATTGTGTCTGTGTTTGTAGATCTGATATTTTTTACCTACGTGACTTTACCGAAAAGAACCAAAGAGTATGGATCCTTGCAGTCACGAAAGCTTCAAATCTAGAATTGATAGCCTCTACGAGGAGGGTGTTCACCTATCTGTTAGAGCTTTTAACAGACAACGGTACAAGAAGTCACAGCTCATCGAGACGATAACCTTCCTCAAAAGATGCCGCGACCACAAGGTAATACCCATCGCCTTCACACTCACTTCTGCTGCTGTGTCCTCACCGAATTCTAAACAGATTCTGTTTAAGGCCAGTCTCTCTTTAATCTCAGAGAGGATAAGACTACTCCGTTTTGAACTCGATACTTTAGACAGGACTCTCCTACAAGCTCATTTAACGTTAACACAAAAAATGTCACCTTCTGATTGGAACCACGTAGACAACATGACTGCTTCTTCTGCTGATTCACTTTCAATCAAATGCAAAGCTAACCTAATTGCTAAATTCAACCACCTATCAAAGAAAAACCCGGTTCCACAGATCACAAAACTAGATGTTAACAAAATTGTTATCAATCAGAGTAGCACCCCCCGATTTCGGACAATCTGAAAACAGTATTGGCTAAAGGACTAAATTTTGCTGTCACCCCAAAACATATACCGATAGATATCATTTCTCAGGTCGATGTAGCCCTCAAAGGTATAGGACACATCCAAGCAGACGTCGCGAGAGCTGAAATAGCTACTATTCTTAAGAATGCTAAGAAACCCGTTAGCAACATTAGCAAAGATGAATGCTCTGAACTCGCGAAATTAAAAAAGAGACATGATATAGTCATCCTCTCAGCCGACAAGGGCAATGCCACTGTAATTATGGATGAAAACTCACACAACAATAATATTCAGGACCTACTCAATGATGGTAGTTACTCAAGAATCAAAAATGACCTTACTAATAGCCTAACTATAAAAAACAACAAGATCATCACAAGTTCAACCTCCCTAATCGAACCAACTAAACGTCCCTCCCTAAAACCTTCTGCTGCAAGACCACCTAGATTATATGGTCTTCCAAAGATTCATAAGGAAGGCACTCCACTATGACCCATCGTATCCACGATCAACTCCCCTACCTATAAGCTGGCACGTTTTCTGTCGGATACCTTGCCACCTTTCACTGGCAAGACCACCTCAGCAGTACTTAACTCGGCCCAATTGGTTTCTATGGTCAAGGACGTTGTACTGTCCCCTGACGATATCCTTGTCAGCTTCGATGTGGTCTCCTTGTTCACCAAGGTCCCGGTACCTGATACCATTGATATAATTGAAAATTTGGTACAATATGGACTAAACCCCGAGGTACCTACTCTGGTCAGGCACTGCCTCACCAACACCTACTTTACTTGGAATGGTTCCTTCTACAAGCAAAATGAGGGTACTCCCATGGGTTCCCCCTTGTCACCAGTGATAGCCAATGTTTTCATGGAGAAATTTGAATCGGACGCCATCCAGACTTCCACCCTCAGACCTTCTCTGTGGAAGAGATATGTGGATGACACTTTCGTCATTTGGCCACATGGCCTCCCAGCTCTGAACCTTTTCCTACACCACATCAATTCCAGACATCCCGCCATCAAATTCACCATGGAAGTGGAGAAGGATGGCAGGCTACCATTCTTGGATGTTCTGTTTGAGAGGAGACCTGATGGCTCGTTGGGGCATTCTGTCTACAGGAAACCCACTCACACGATTCCTACTTGAAGCCTGATTCCCACCACCACCCAGCTCAGAAGAATTCTCTCATCAAAACTTTATACCATAGGGCTCATTGCATTTCGGACCAACACCACCTGACCAGTGAATTAAAACATGTACACCTGGCCCTCAAAAGGAATGGATACTCTGACCGTACCATCCGCCAAGCTGTTTCTCCCTCCATACAGAAACAACCACTTGATACTCCGGTCAAAACCATCACACTACCATATATAGCAGGCGTTACTAAAAAGATTTCCAAAATTCTAAACAAACACAAGATCCAGGTCTGGTTCAATACAGTACACTAAATTCGTGATCTGATCCCATCCTTGAAGGATGTCATTCCTGACTTACAGTACCCCGGGGTTTACAAATTGAGTTGTACCTGGGGTGATTGCTATATCGGGGAGATGAAGCGACATGTCTCTGACCGAATTCGCGAGCACAAATCATATTTGAAACATGGCAGAACTAATTCTTCTGCCGTAGCTGATCACTGTTACAACGCTGTAGGTGATCACGATATAATTTTCTCCGATACCAAGGTTCTTTGCAAACCCACGGGTTTTTATCAGAGGTTTGTTCACGAGGCAATTCAGATCTACAAACACAGACACAATTTCAACCGAGAAGATGGTTTCAAATTAAGCAACCATTGCAAAGATGTTCTAAATCGAACCAAACATTAAACTAATTTTTCAATGGTACAGTATATTTTTCAAGTAGTGGTACCCCAAACTTTCGCAGCTTCTTAAAATCCCCTTTTCACACCACCAGCATGTGGACGCTGCCATGCCCCCTCGCCAGCCTGCACAGGTCGACCCCCTCCCTACCTTTCATCATGCTAAGTCTGCCTATTAAAATGCAAATTTTTATGCTAATTCCTTTGTCAAGGCACCTTAATTACTCTCACTGGTCCCTTCACCTGATGAAGGCCGCTTGTGTTGTGGCCGAAACGTGATTTTTGTTTTATTTTTTACCTACGTGACTTTACCGAATAGAACCAAAGAGTATGGATCCTTGCAGTCACGAAAGCTTCAAATCTAGAACTGAGTGGACTTGCCGATGACTGGTACTAGCGGTGTCAAGATCGGCCTCTGTGGAGGAGGCTCGTGAAATACGCTACTGGGCAGTCGCCCTCCAACAACAACGGAGGGCAGAGGAGAGATGCTCAAAACAACGAGCGGAACGCCGGGTGGCTAAAACACAGCCAGTTGGCACATTAGGGGGCAGAGGTGGTGCATCGGCCAGTCATGTCAGTCAGTAGACTCATGGCACCTGGGTCTGCCCCGTGACCTCCTGCCGGTGGGCGTTCGACACTTCATGTGGCCTTAACGTGCACATAGTCTGGCACACGCATCATGGTGACGTCACTGCCACTTAGTGGCGAATGGTGGTTATTGTTGTGTCTCTGTGAGTCTCTGTGTGTCCCCCTTTGTCCCCTCTGAGTCTCTGTGTCTCTGTGAGTCTTTGTGTGTCTCCCCTTGTCCCCTTTGCAAGTCTCTGTGTATCTCTGTATTTGTGCATCTCTGTGAGTGTATTTCTCCGTCTCACCTTGTCCCCTCTGTGTGTTTGTGTATCTGAGTCTGTGAGTCTCTGTAAGTGTTTCTCTGTGTGTCTCCCCTTGTCCCCTCTGTAAGTCTATGTATCTCTATCTGTGTGTGTCCCCGTGAGTCTGTGTCTTCGTGAGTCTATTTCTCTGTCTCCCCTTGTCCCATCTGTGAGTCTCTTGAGTCTCTTTGTGTATCTGTGATTCTGTGTGTCTCCTCTTGTCCCCTCTGTCTGAGTTTTTGTGAGACTGTGTCTCTGTCTCTGTGAGTCTCTGAGTCAGTGGCTTCCCTTGTCCCCCCTCTCTGTGTATCTCTGTCTCTGTGAGTCTGTAAGTTTTTTGGTGGGCAGGCCCGGGCAAAGCTACGTGGCAGGGAGTCGGAGCCATTCCCTGTTCACCTTGGGGTGTGACACGGATGTCCTCTGGTGCATACATTATTTAATACCATCTTTGACCACGTAGTTAGAGAAGATTTCCATGCGTGTACCGGAGGTATTTCTATCTGGTACTGATTGATGCCCGGGTGCGGTCGGGGGATGGCTCCCTATTGGTCAACCGTGTTATGTACGCTGATGATCTGTTGATTGCTGCTCACTCAGGAGGAGTTTAAGGTTCTGCTTCTGAACCTGGAACGTGTCACTAAGATATGCGGCCTTAAAACTATAAACTATTTTTTATTTATCAGGGAAGGCCCGCTGAGCTATTAGCTCTTTTTCAGAAGCAACCTGGCCACAAATGATAGCTCAACAAAGTGGCTCATGTGCAAATGTATAGCAGCCGAATACTCAAACACATGTTTCTAAATGTGGAGGAAAAAATTGTAGGACCTGGAGAAAAATCCACATGACCACGGGGAGAATATGTAAATTCCAAATATACAGGTGTCAGTGTCTGGATCGAACCCACGACCTGCTGTATACCAGGCGAGGTAATTAACATCTCGCCACTGTGGCGCCCTACCAAAACTAAGCACCTGCCTGAATATTTTGTGTCATAAACCACTACACCTCCTCAACTCCCCATTGGTGATGGAGAGAAAGTGGAGAGTTTTCCATACCTGGGTGGTGTGCTTATGACCAGTTCCGGTTTGACAGCATAGGTCTCACTCCGAATCAGTCGAGTGGCATTACCTTTCATTACGCTGTGTGGAATCTACCTGGTCTGTCATTGCACACAAACCTTCGGGTCTTCTCAGCCACAGTCATGCCCTCAATTCTCTATGCTTGCGAAAGCCCTCCCCGTTGAGGCAGCACTGCTCGCGAAGCTGTGAGTGTCTATATGTGTCTGTGTGACCTTGTGTTTCCATGTAAGCTTCCGTGTGAGTCTGTCAGTTCGCGAGTCTCGATGCGAGTCCATGAGTCTGTGTGATTCTCTGAGTCTCCGTGTGAGTTTCTGTGTGTGTCTCTGCGTGAGTCTCCATGTGAGTCTGACTCCACGTCTCTCCCAGGACCCCAGGGATGCGGTGATAGAGCGCTGCACACGAGGCTGTGAGTCTCTCAAGGCGGAGCTCTCCAGCTGCGAGGCTCGCGTCTCGTCCCGGACTCGCACCCAGGAGACCTGTGCCCAGGAGCTGCTGGACCTGATCCACTGCCAGGACCACTGTGTGCGTCTCCACGTCAACCGCCGTAGCAACTGCAGCAACCAACATCACTGTGGCATCACTGTAGAGACTCCGATGATCGTAGCAACTACCATCGTCATAGCAGCAACCACCATCACCACAGCAATCACTGTAGTAACCACAATCACTGTAGGAAACACAACCAATACCCGCCATTCGCCATTAAGTGACAGTGACATCACGACGGCACCTGTGCCAGACCAGGTGCACTTTGAGGCCATGTGAAGGGTTCAACCCTCGCTTACAGGAGTTCTCGGGACAGACCGAGCTGCCATAGATTGGCTGACTGAGATGACCAGTAGATGCACAAGCTAGACTTGCTTCTTTTTAGCTGCCTGGCGCTCTGCTCATTGTTGTGCGCATTACTCCTCTGCCCTCCGTTGTTGTTGGAGGGCGACTGCCTCCAACTGCCCAGTAGCGCCCTTCACGAGTCTCCTCCATAGAGGCCGATCTTAACACCGCTGGTACCAGTCATTGGCAAGCCCACTCAGCTCCACGTCTTCCCCTACCGCATCAGTCCATCCCTTCTCCAGCCCATGTTGTTCACGTTTAGCCCCCTTTATGCAGCCAAACAGAAGCTGCTTGGGCATGTGGTGGCTGGACATGCAGGCTACATGACCCAGCCAATACCGTCTTGCCTGCCGGAGGAGCTTACTGACCAGAATGTGTCCAGATCTTTCAAGCATTTGTGAGCTCACACAATCCAGCCTGTTTAAACCCAAGATGGATAGTAGGCATGCCAGCCTGAATGTTTATAACTGGCGCAGATGTTCCATTAGAGAGGTCCACGTTTCATAAGCATAGAGAAGGGAGGGCATGACTGTGCCAAGAAGACCTGAAGCTTCGTGCGGACCAATAGACCAGGTACCTTCCACACAGCTTTGCGCAGCCGATGAAAAGATAATACCGCCTGACTGATTCGGAGTGAGACCTCCACTGTTAAACCATAGCTGGTCATAAGCACACAGCCCAGGTATGGGAAACTCTCCACTCTCGCCACAACTGCTCCATCCCCAATGGGGAGCTGAGGGGGTTGAGTGTTTGGTGGCACAAAATACCCAGGCAGGTGCTTAGTTTTGGTGGGACTGATGGTAAAATCCAACCTATTAGTGGCACAATCCAGGTTCAGCAGCAGCACCTCCAACTCCTCTAAGTGACCAGCAATCAGTAGATCATCAACATACCTAACATGGTTGACCAGTAAGGTGCCACCCCTCAACAGCATGCGTGCATCGATCTGTACCAGATGGAAATTCATCTGGTACAGCCATGGAAATCTCGAACTACGTGGTCAAAGATGTTAAATAATGTGGGAGCACCCCAATGTTCATTTTATTTCAGTTCAGTTCATTTATTAGGTAAAGCCCTGTGAGCCATTCGGCTCTTGAATCGGGTGAAACCGCAACAAACAAAAACATGAACAAGAAAAATCTTAAAGTGACTATGCACAACAGAAAAATCCAGGAAAAAACAGCAAAGTCTTCCAGAAAAAGCACTGCGTATCAACGCTGTGTGCAAAAATCCCAGTGGGATGCAAGTCAAACAATAACAACCATAAGACAATTTAGATTACAGTTACAAGTCTAACTCTGTGTACTACAACAAACAAATATGGCTAAACCAGAACCTTTTCGAAATCACCAAAATAAAGCTCTAAAAACAATGCAACAGTGATCACAGGAACTGTGATTTCCAATTTAACAATAAACGATATACGTAACATGTACGACCAAACGTTGCAAGCCACAGCATCATGAGATGCGTATTACGACCAACAAAGGCGGCGTCTTTGAATGGACAAGCAGCACCTTGCACACCATTGGGTGGCAAACACGTCATCTTCCTCATGCTCACATTTCCCTCACACAGAGCAGGGAATGGCTCTGACTCCTGGCCAGAAGCTTTACCCGGGCCTGCTCACCATCATGAAGGCCCTAAATTATTGAGGAAAAAGTGATGCACTCCGAAAGCACGAAAAACTGCCCACAGCCCTGGTCTGTTGATGGTATCATAGGCCTTGACCAGGTCAATAAAGCAGAGATGTAAGTCCTGTTGGAATTCCCTACATCTCTGTTGTAGCAGTCACCACCATCATCACCGCAATCACAACACAGCAACCAACGTCACCATAGCTGCAACCACACCATATACATCACATTCACTGTAGCAGCAACCACCATTGCTGTAGCAACCACCATCGTAACAGGAACCACAAAAATGAGTGGTGATGATGTTAACGATGATGATGTTACTGTTGTTGCAGGTCTCAAAACATCTTTTTTCTAAACTCAAATGAAGAAACACCATCTCAACCTCACCCCACCGACCCCCCCCATCCTAACCTCCAGTTGCCTGTCGACGCTGTGCGTGCTGTAAGCACCAATAATAAACACTGAGTTGTCTCCAAAGTCCCTGTCTCCACAATCTCTCTCTCTACTACACTAAGGTGTTTGATTTTTTTACCCCCCTGATTCTGCTCAATATTTCCTCTTCATACTTCGTCTCCTTGTTCTCGAGTGCATCTATGTTCCTCTTTCCATTGCGTTCTGGATATACGTTGTAGTTGTCGTAGGTTGCATAGTTCCAACCACTGAGGCATGGACAGTCCTAAACACGGGCCTGATAACTGTAAAACAGGGAGTGGCTCTTCTTTTTAACAAAACAATGAATGGGGCGTGGGAAGTTGCGAATATTGGGAGTCCAGGAATGGTGGTGGTGGTTTATTTTTTCACCGAAAATTAACATCTGTGAATGGAAACCGGCAAGGACAATGAGTCCGATGCCTTCTATGGCTTGTGATGGGTGCTGGCTAAAGTGGCTCCTTGGTTTAGATTCCTATTGGGTGACGTTAATGCCTGAGTGGGTTATGATACAGGCTCTTGGGTGCTTAATCCCCAACCCGATGTTCCATAAGCAAGAAAATCTGCTGAAATACATAGTGACAGAAGAACGAATGTGGGCCCATGGCCTTGACACGAGGACCTACCGTGCAGCTGGTCTTCCCACTAACCATCGGTTTGGTCACAGAAAGATATGCTTGCGAGTCTTCCACTCCAGTTGTGGGTGTCCATCTAGGACAGGGGTGGGAAACGTCCAGCCTGCGGGCCGTACAAGGCCCGCGAAATCATTTGGTCTGGCCCTGCCAAGGCAACCGCAGGCGGGACTTGAAATTCAATAAATCTAGGAGCAAATCTGGAAAAGCATCATCAATACCAGCTAACATCACACGCCTCACCAAAGAGAAGCAGTTCCAGCCATCACATTAGGGGTGAGTTAATTAAATGTTTGACCAAATATAACAGGCTTATTTTTAAGTTGATAATTTTGTATGGCCCGCGAATGATGTTATAAAATGGCCCTTGGCAGAAAAAATGTTCCCCACCCCTGATCTAGGACCTCATTCAAACCCACAGTGGCCTGGTTTCACCCAGTTGATGAAAGTTGCAAGCAAGAATTCCATCATCGCTTCCAGCTGGGGTTGGCATCACCCCCCTCTCCTCCGGATGCCCATCCATCCTGGGTTTAACCAGGCTGGATTGTGAGAAGCTCACAAATCCTTGAAGGATTTTGGACATTCCCATCAAGTGAGCTCCTCTGACGGGCAATGCTTGCGTTGGCTGGGTCATACATCCAACATACCCAGCCACCACATGTCCAATCAGCTTCTGTTGGGCCAGATAGAGGGGTCTAAATGGACATCACACGGGCTGGAAAAGGGATGGACTGATGCAGTCAAGGGAAATGTGGAGCTGATGGACTTGCTGAAGACGGCGCTCAGGGGAGAGCTGAATTATGGGGACATGGGTATTACAGGATAAGTAATTGTGAGGTTGAGCTATTGTCTCAAAGAGCACTTGACTCTAGAGTCTGTATGGTTATTAGGGGATCTTTGCTTGCTGTGTGGGGGAGAGGGAAAGAGTGCTCTTAGCATAGAGAGAATTGCAAACATAATAATGGTATCTATCTAAGAAAACCTCACTGCTTCTCAAGACTTCTTTTTAAGATATTTCTGCACTGGGACGGCTCGCCATTTCCATGAAACAGGTGTTTGGCTTTGTGTGGGAGGGAATTGGAGTACTGGGAGAAAAGCCCACGTTGCACATGAGAGGACAACACAGTTCTACAACAGATGGAATTCACAAACCCGCTTGGTGTACTGCTAGATAAAGGCATTCCTATGTATTATCTGTAGTAATGCTTTTTTTGCTATACTTCACCATTACGCCCAGTATGGATTGGTGAAGCGAGGGGGGCAGGACTGATTCATCTGTCACTCGACTGATTTCAGACCATGGGTGTGTAGTGTGGTGCTCTAAGCACTGCAACTGCTCCACCCGATATGCCTGTGCACTGTTGCACATAATATATTCAATTGCAATGGATTTTCCAGATTACATTTTTTATTAAATAAAAAATATAGGGTGTTTAAAAGGATGGACCAGATTTTAAATCGCTATATCTCTGCAACCACGAACTGCCCATGAATGAAACTCTGACCACTTGAAAGGGCGGGGCGTAGAGTTTCAAATGACGGAGCATGGGTACAATATCTAAACTATTCAATAATATTGAAACATTTACATGAGTAACCAGGAGACTCCTCTTGTGAGTTACACCGAGTTTGTATTCTCCAGCATGGAGGCCATGCGAGAAGTTAGAATGCTTGCCAAGCAAGAGAAGCAAGTGGAGTGAGCCAAATGGACATTTCCTAACCTGCACCAAAAGCTCAACGTGCTGACACTGGGAGGGGAGGAGTGGGGTCACTGGGAGTCTCGTCTCTGTTCCCATGTGTCATCATCACCACCACCTACACCACGGATACCCCCACACACAAGTGTTGTGTAGTAACTCTTGACACTAAGCAGAATTGTCGAACCACACGGAGACGGAACTTCAGGTGACGGCTTACGTTGGTTTAATAACACTTCACACGACTCTGTGTACTGCACACTCACTGACTGATTACACTCGACACCTACATCCGTTATGGTGTGCGCCATAACTCTGGCCTGCACGTGGAACTCTTTCCAACTATCTACGCCCCGGTACGGCTTCCCTTTTCCTACTTCCTCGTCTGCCCCATGTATATATGCCCTTTTTCCATCTTTGATATTAACAAGAAATTTGCCGATACACATGTATGTTTTTTTCCTCCTGAAAATAATGAATGTAAACAACACGTAAGCTAGAAAGACGCTTTGTCATCCCACAGCGTGAGAGAGCTGAGATAAGCACTCGAAGGCAAGGCAATTATCACAGGCTGTGTGCAACACGTATAGCTGACCTAAATAAACCGCATGTGGAGGTTTTGAGTTAAAGAAATCGCAATACAAACATACAAAACATTAATGTTAACGCTATTCACCGTAAAATATATTCTTCTTACACAACCTTGTTAAACATAAACTACATGATACTCAAGCGATGTTAAACCGGGGGCCAGGGAAAAAGAGAGTCTCCCTGCCGCCTTTGTCTTCCTGCAGCCCGTGATAAGAATATGCTTACGCTCAAGGGAGCACCTTCCCTTGACATAAGTCAAACACCACGATGGAAAGCTGACACGACAGATCTTGGGTTACATACAGAATCATGGCTGCGGGTGGTGCGATACCAAACTGTGAGGAACAAGTGTTAACTTTAAAAACTTTAACCATTCCTTTGTGTGTCGGGAACATGACATGCAGGGAGGGAAGCATGCCCCTGCCTCTCGCACCGGCAGACAGAGAGACAGACAGAGAGACGCCTTCAAGGCGATTTGTAACATCTGTTTGTTTTACTTTTTGGTGGTTTATGGAAAGAGGACAACAGAACTATGTCGTAAATGACGCACACAAGGACACACACTGACACACGTACGGAGACACACACAGATGGACAGACCACGACACAGCTAAATCAAAAGAAGCTCCGCCTTGTGGGGAGGAGCCGAGAGGAGGGATTTTGGCATAAAAGAGGACACTGCAGCATTGAAACCTCAGTTCGGCCAGCTCATTGGAGCTCGGCTCAGCTCGGCTGAGCTTAGCTCAGCTCGGCTCATCAGCTTGCCGACAGCTCATCAGGGAGCGGGCAAGACCCGCTGGCCAGCTCCACTCATCCCTGCAGGAGATCAACCGCCGCCGACGCGGGGGAGGTCTCTGCCGCCGCCTAGCGAGACACGCTGTTTAGCGACGGGGCTACGCGGTGCGAGCTGGCGTCATCAAAAGTAGCGTCGCAACGAATGCGTATCGTCAGCGCCCGATAGCGCAACCGGTGGTCACCACTCCGCGACACAGCGTGCCCGCGACCAGCAGACGAGCGACATCTACCGATCATACAACCGTGCCCGCTGAGAGCGGACGTCGACACCACCGCGCACGCTGCGAGCGAGCTGTGTGCGCCATCTACCGACAGATCATCGCAACTACAACAGCGCCGACCTACATCCGCCGAACCGAATCAATCATCGGAGAGGAGAATCGACTGATACGTATGACGCGCATTGCCCCCCACCACACGACAAATCAGGCGTCTGCTTGACATAAAGAACCAACTCCGAACATTGACTATTCAACACAATTTATATCAGGGACAAAGACAATCTCAAATGTGAACCATCTGGCCGTGGAAGCATCGCTACAGATCGTGTGATAACAGTCCGTCGTTTATAAGTATATACATAATATTTCTTCCTTCTTAATCCTTTTGTTTTGGGCTGTACTTCTAATCGCATAAATTACAAACAGATCCATTAATACGAATTAATCCTTGACACCTTCTTCCGCGGAGCTAGGCTCACGTGGGGGAATGGTGTGTCCAACCAGATCCTTATCAGGCGATCTGGTCCACAATTAATTAAAACTTGGTATAAGATAAAGATCTTCGGGGAAAGCGCGCACACCATCGCATGCCCTCTCTCCAAGACATTTCTGTAATCATTTAATCTTGCCGATGGATCTATTCAGATTTGTGCCTTTGAGAATAATAACTGTTTTTCATTGTCTTTTCGTATGAATATCGCCGTATAATCTTTAAGTATCTTCAATTACTGATCGCCGCATGTACTCATGTACTCTATAGAATACTCAGCTGTTCTGTGACCCAATGTGCGAACAACGTGATAAGGATTGCCTATGGATCGATGAATGAGCACCCGGGAGTACTGTGTGGCCGATTTCAAATATAATAATCCATAATAGAAGGTTAAGATTTTTTGTTTAGAATAGCTTTTCATGCCTGTTTTAACGACTCTCTCTCTCTCACTAACAACAATCGCGTTACGCGGGGGGGGGGGGGGGGATTCAAAGTGGAACCACCCAGTCGTTGATGATACTGTATTGATACAGTGTTAAAAGTTCCGAGATTGAGAGTCACATACTATATTAGAGTTGAGGTTTAATTAGAAAATAAATTGATTAATGCAGAAGTTGTGG